CCCCCTTCCCACCGCACCACTCCCTCACTATAATGGCCGGACCACTTGCAAAATGCTTCCTACAGCTATGCAAATTGTAATCATCTTCACCATCTTTGTCATCGTCGTTGTCATCATCTTCGTTATCATTAGGCCTGTTATCAATTTCATTATTATCGTCGCCACCGACTTCGATGTTAAAAACGCCGGACATCATCCCCTTCTTGTTTTAATTTACCAACATGCATAAAAATGTGAAATCAAACCAACTACGTCAACTGTTAATAGTACGCCAGCTAACATTCTCATGATTTCATCTTAACCGCATGCAGAACATAAAAAAACAGGGAATTTCGGAGTAAACATCTTTCATTAAGGACGGAGAATACGGCCGTGTGGTCAGATCTTGTTTACAGTTAAAACACTGTAAACATACAGAAATCGTAAAGATAAACTTTAACAGAACAAACCAGTGTACATAGCAGTCATTTAACATACAAATGGGTTTGACATAGTCAGCTTATCATTTTATGCTGATCTCCTAAATATGGACTTCTCCCAGACACTTAGTGCCCTCACCGAACTTGAGCTGAAATGATGATGACCACACCTCCGGCAAATCTTGCAAACGTCTGTAAGGAGACAGAAACATCTGTTCACGTTCAAATAAACGTATGGGGAACAACCTGTCTGTGTGCTCAAGGCACAGCTAAACATGAACTTGTAGACACTTTAGAAAACCAGAGGACGTTCACGAACATTGTTGGAATTTAACTTCAGCTCCTGGGCAAAAATGAATACTCCACACCTGAGACAACTATACACGTGTATAGTTGTCTCAGTCCACGCAGAACGAGCCGAATTCAAGTCAACTCGGGGGCCGAGTTTATTTGGGACTGAGTTGCCTTGGGGCCGAGTTAGGCCAAGTTGACATGGTGTTGAGTTGAATCGAGTTGACCTGCTTCCCACGAGCCGCCCTAGACAAAAGTAAATGACGAAACACCATAACCAAGGACTTAAGTCTGCCATAATACTGCAAATCGGCAAATCAATTCCAATGAGTACATATGAGTTAAAAGTAAACAATAACAACAATTATATAATAACAATATGACAACAGCAAGAAAAATAACAACAAAAACAACAACAGCAACAGTAACATTTAACAGCATTAGCACTAGCAATAACAATGAAATTAACGATAACAATATCAAC